AAGAACTGTGTTTTCATCTCTCAAAGGAAGACGCCAAAATAACCTGGTTTGTTGTGAGGTAAGTACAATCTAGCTTCTACGAGACCAACTTTCTTACTGAATTCGAATTTCTCGATTTTCATTATGTTTGGGTTTGTGAACGTGGGTTAGAAGATGTTGCACTGTTTCCGTCGAAAGGGCTTTTTCAATAACCTATCCAGCATAAACCCTTAGGAATTCCAAGTCCATCGCCAAAGTTACCTCAGGCAACTCAGTAGGTTAAAGAGCAGTGCAGAACATCAGTCTTCAAACAGCTTTTATTTTCTGGAGGTACTCGTCAACCGAGCAACCAATGGCAACTGGGAAAATCCACATAGACTGGTTAAACGTACAAAACTGCAACCGTTTCCACGGTGCTTCATGAAAATGAAATTTATTCCACTCTTTAGTGAATGACATCAAAATATGCTGGAGGATGAACTCAATTGTAGCAAATGCTTCAGAACACGTGTGTATAGAGCAAATGCGACCGACGCCAGTGACAAAGCGAACAGAGAGAAAGCAAGCCATCAACATCAAGGAAGACTGTTTTAAAACACTCTACAGAATGGTTAAACATTGTTTCTCTTGAGATTTCCGGTGCGGAACATTGAGTCATGCTCAATTCTGATGATCCCGAATATCAAAAAAAGGATTGTTTATGGTGCTTTTTTACAAAAAAACGGTGAGCAAAATTACACGCTTGATCATGCCCGTGGTGTCAACACATACGCACGGCTGCCACTGGCCGTCACAGTGCAGTGTCAAGGGCCGCAAGCCAGACAACGACCAGCGGCATGTTTGCTAGATAGTGTGAACTGCTGTGATTCATTTTTAGTCTGATCAAGTAATCCTGATCTGGCGGTAAGTCGACACGGAAATCACGACAAAACGGGTCGGAGTAGGCCCTGCTAACGAGGTACAAACACTATGGGTAGATAGGTCAGTAAAACATGTACGTACAAGAACATAGTGACGAACATCAATGTTTTCGAGATCTTGTCATCAGGTCAGTACATATCCGTAGCGTGGGATGTCAGGAGGTCAGCGGTATTCGACGTTCGCGAGGATGTAGGGACGGCACACACCGGTTCATGCACTGATGTACACGGCAGAGAACCGAATAGGTCATACGATAGACACGTGTAAGCACGTACAGTCCAGTTTCAATTGCGTTACATATCTAGTGGTTAAATAAGAGCGAAATATAAAATATGCAGCGAAGGTGGTTCGTAAAATGCTGAACGTGGGAACACGAACATTGCATCTAGCTGGATGCTGTGAGACAGTCTAGGGGGTCGTTTGTGCCTTGACCAGCTGATTCGTGCCACCCGACCAAAGGAGGCTCAGCATTCATACAAAACGTTTTTGGTGGCACAGTACTAANGTTTTAAAACACTCTACAGAATGGTTAAACATTGTTTCTATTGAGATTCCCGGTGCGGAACATTGAGTCATGCTCAAGTCTGATGATCCCGAATATCAAAAGAAAGGATTGTTTATGGTGCTTTTTACACAACGGTTAGCAAAATTACACGCTTGATCATGCCAGTGGTGTCAACACATACGCACGACTGCCACTGGCCGTCATAGTGCAGAGTCAAGGGCCGCAAACCAGACAACGACCAGCGGCATGTTTGCTAGATAGTGTGATCTGCTGTGATTCATTTTTAGTCTGATCAAGTGATCCTGATCTGGCGGTAAGTCGACACGGAAATCACGACAAAACGGGTCGGAGTAGGCCCTGCTAACGAGGTACAAACACTATGGGTAGATAGGTCAGTAAAACATGTACGTACAAGAACATAGTGACAAACATCAATGTTTTCGAGATCTTGTCATCAGGTCAGTACATATCCGTAGCGTGGGATGTCAGGAGGTCAGCGGTATTCGACGTTCGCGAGGATGTAGGGACGGCACACACCGGTTCATGCACTGATGTACACGGCAGAGAACCGAATAGGTCATACGATAGACACGTGTAAGCACGTACAGTCCAGTTTCAATTGCGTTACATATCTAGTGGTTAAATAAGAGCGAAAAAATAAAATATGCAGCGATGGTGGTTCGTAAAATGCTGAACGTGGATGCTGTGAGACAGTCAAGGGGGTCGTTGTGTGCCTTGACCAGTTGATCCATGTCACACGACCAAATCAGATTCAGCACTTGCACAAAACGTTTTTGGTGGCACAGTACTAACTTTCACAGGCATATAACGGCTGCCTCGGCTTTATTCGTCTGCGTACATGTACGCACACACGCTACCATATCAGTGTCGGATGGGGTGGCTTTTGCGGCGATGTGAATGACGGGTACAAAGGAGCCAAATTGTTGGAGGTCAATAGTGTACCGGCGGAGTAAGCAAATACACGATGATGTCACGATAATGTCACACCATGATGTCACGTTAAGTTCACTACACTCAGAAGGTGATTCACAATCGATGAGCAAAAACCTTCCTTTTACAATTCACCAGTCTGTCATCTACTCATCAGTGCTAGCGGTCCAGTAAGACGCCACTTGTGGAGGATCAGTGAGCATTAGTCAAAAATCCCTACAAATTGTGAGTAAAGACCCAGAAAACGGTCCAATGCTAGACACTGAAGACACTAAGGTCACCGAATTCAATCGAATCGCTTCACTTACAAGTAATTCATCTCATGACTAACGCAATTAATTCAGCTGATCTGGTCACCGATCGACCCACCAGGAACGAACATCTCTCTTGTCGTCTGCCTAAGGACCGTTCTCTTATCTATCTGACTAGTGATTCTGCCTTTCGGCGTTCAGTTTCTTCCTCGTATGCTTGTGATCAATAATTATGCAACTGTAGAAGCCAGCTGAGACTTTTAGGACACATGCTCGGTGATCTGCATGTTCTGTATTCAGAGTTGTTAGTTTGGGCTGGAGGTGAGAGGTTCGCTCCACTTAAACTGTTTCACTAACCAAAACTTAGGCAGGCAGTTGTGTGTCGTACATTCATACACGAAATCATCCAGCTGTTTTTGTGGAAATTATTTTACAAAAAACATAGCCGGGTAACTACTTAGCTAATGTCACGACCGCACCATACATGTTTTTTCGTCAAATAAAGGAACACGAAGAAGCACAGAAGGAACGCCGTGCTGGCGCCTATTTTGAAAGGAAGGTCTGACCCTGGTCTAAAAAGAATTGTCTAGGAACACAATTGGAACGCAAAGATTAATACAACACACAGACGAGTAATCTTAGAACCATTAAATCTTTCTTTATTATTCTAGGGCTATACCGAGGCTATACCTGATTGGGTAGGCAGGGGAAATGGAATTATCATCCTCAGCACAGATACTGACATCAAGTTTGACAATTCTTAGTGTCTTAGAAAAAGCAGATTTTATTGTGAAGGTCTTTCATGCGGAGGAGTGAGAGTAGTAGTTATGAAGGGAACCTATCAATATATTAAGTATATTATATATATATATATATATATGAAAAATGCATTGTATGGTCGGCTCACATTCGTCTGGCCAGTAGTTCTTGTAACGCCCTTTCGGTGCCCATCTGCCATTCCAACCGAAGGAAGCACGAACATCGAGGGGCTGCCGGGTTGCTCAAGCCTAGAAAGGACTATTCGAAACCTAGAGATTTGGTTCAAGCCACGAACTTTCCGGTCAGTAAGTTATGACTTTAACCAGTGAGCTCTCTAGAGCTCAGTAATCGATGTGGGGATCAGTTTGTGTAGTCTTGATTAACCGAGTGTGTCGGCTACAGAAGAATTTTCATTCTTGTCATTAAGTGAACCTAAAACGCTGCTGGTGTCTGTACTCTTCCGAGTGAATATCACCAATATGCATGAAACGCGCTCATTGGCACACTAATTTGGTTCCACGCGAAATTCAACCGAATGCCTATTCAATCTGTCGTTTATCATATTCTTTAGTCGGGTGGAACAGTATTCAAGATATCGCGTTATGGTTTTCCGAGGGAAAGCATGCAAAATTGCCGGACACTCTTCAACGACCCATAACCGGTTTCACCCTTCTTGTTTGGACTCATCGTGCCCGAGTTCTTGTCACCCTTCTGTTCCCCTTGGACTCAACTGTACGAAACTCGCTATCACCCATTCGCACACTAAACTAGTTTTCATGAGGAACCCTACTGAATCCCAGCTGGATCTCTCTTTTATGGTATTCTACTACTGAATGCCCTGAATGAAGACCGGTTTATATCGAAGAGTTTTCATCAACCTTATGAGTAGAACAAACCTCTGAGTAGACACTGAGACGCGCGAATTCCAGAGGAAACTGCACGGAATCTGAAAGTATCAGGTAGGTCAGCACTCGCACGCACTCACGCTATCGCACTCGTTTGTTCGGAATATAGTGGTTGTGTTCCCTTCTGTGAGTCTTTTTTCTCCGGCACTAGGCACTGGAGCGGGTCAGCAGCAGATACCACAGATTGACGAATCAGCAGATATAACATAAAGCGCATTATTAAATTTATCAATTAACAAGTGCTCATCATGCTCTTAATCCTTTTCAGAATAAATAAATACAGACCAAAACTATATTTGATAGTCCAGAGGTACGGCAGTCAAATATACTTATTTGCATACCAAGTTAGTGTTGACGGGTGACTCACCTGAACCCCAGATGAATCTCGCGTTTGTGATGTTTTTAACTGAGTGAATGTACTGCACCAGGCCGCCTTATGTTTCAATTGGTACAATATTCGAGATATCGCGATACATTTAGAGACGTAATATACTATACATAAGGTTGTTAAAAATACTTCAACTTAAAGTTCACGGAATCGAGGATTGCATCTACCTGGTGAGCCCTAAGAAGGGCTAAACAGGTCTTTTAGTCCTTCAGTTCGGTTAGTTTTCACCAAAGTTTATTCCATGGAAGATTGGGGATTTTAAGAATGAACCTAACGCAAAAGTGGATCTGAAATATTAAACTGCACTGCTCTTAAGTGGAATGCCTTTTCCATTCAACTAGCTTCACGTATTACTGAAAAAGTCTCTTCCGGTCAGTCTCATGGATTACCCGGCGGGCTCTGCTGACGAAGAAATGGAACAACTAATGGACTTGATTCATCGAGAAATATACGGAGACGAGTCATCATTCGAACAAGAATTGGCTGACCTAATGAGAAGCAATCAAGAAACTAAGGTAAGCATATCTCTGTTACAGCTAAAAGAAACGCATTTGAAATATATTCTAGCTTGAATCGGTAGCTTTTCAGATACACAGTAGAATGCAACTTTCTACAGTCTAATAGTTTGGATGATCACATTCAACAGTGCATTCATTCAACTGCCAGTGGTCAATACGACCGACGGAGTCTGCAAATGGCCGTTCATAAGGCTGCTTCGTCCGGTCGATTGTTTTCTTTGCATCAGAGATGAAAGCATCTTTTGTACAAAACGTGGAATCTCTTGAGCAACGAAGGTAAATGCAGCTTAGAGAATGATCGATGAATTGGTGCATTAAACTAGGTAGTCTTAATGGGCGACGGAGCGACTAATGGGTCAGTTTAGCTGGTAAGACGACGGGTGATATTCACATAAACACATTCACATACACACATAGGTTTCATGCCTTCTTCTCCTTCATCTCGATTCTTATAGATCTCGGTTTTTGAACGGTGCCAGCTCGCGGCTAAGTCTCACGATCAAATCTCTTTCATTCCCCCTAAATAGGTTACGGACAAGTTCCTGCCGAATAGTACCCGAGAAACACACTGATTCGATTGTTCGGCTAGTGGACAGCGATTTTCCTAATCATATTAGCGAGTTGTTTAGCTAGTCGGGTTTCATATCCAGGATATTAGACGCGTCATACGCCTTGCAGCTTATATATGTTTGATTTGCGTACAGGAGAAGATCGAAGGGAATTCGAGAAATTATGTTGTTTGCGTTTGATATCTGCTATACGCTATACCGTTGATCAATAAAATCGGACGGGCTTTTTTCCAAGTACATAATAATAGACGTTCCAGACTGGATCGTCGGGAATCCCAAAGAAATCAACAGATGTCTCCATGAGAAGTTTTATTGCTCTGATGACTGAACAGCTTACTGAAGAAACAGCGATGCAGCATCCATTCTTCACGGCTTCTCACCATCGAAGCATGTGCGGAGTTCAGACGATACGACGTGAAATCCCGGTCGGGTTGGCTAATATATTTTACTGAGATATTTCCACACCTCGACATGAAACAGCTGAGAAGAATCACTCAGTTCAAGAGAGCGTATATTAATTTTCTTGAATAAGTGACGTAGTACTAGAGAGCAGGCTTCCCGATCAGCGTACCAACTATCGACCAATCGCCCATCCATTTATGATAATTTGATGGTTGTTGATCAAGTGGCTGTTAGTCTGTTCGCAGAGCTTGGCAATTGACCTTTAAAACGTTTCGTCGTCATACGATGAGACATTATCTATGTTCAATTGGGTGCGTAATTCTTCTACTTCTGGGTGCATTTATGCCGCATTTGCAGATTATCTGTTATCCCTTACCGTGATTGGCTATTTGGTAACAGCTTCCCTTACTGAGACTTGAAAGCATTGGGATAGTCAATCGGCTCAAAGGAATGCAGTCTACAAAGCAACAAAGACCACAAAAAACCAATCACTTAACGAAAAACAGCTATCACCAACCAACCAATTACGTTAAGAGGTGTCAGACAATCTTCAAATGCTGTATATATGCACGCAGAAGAGGAAGAATCACCCACACAATCGCGCATTGACGATGATCCTAGTATCATGATGAAAGATTTCCAAGTCATTGACAAGCTCGGCCAACAGATCAACAGCCATTTGATGGAAACCAGTAAACTCATCCGAGCTAACAATATTTCAGTACATTATGACGATTTGTAGACAAAACAATCAACTTCTGCCCAGCCATTATCTAAACAGTTTACTTGCAAAGACACAGATCATCTGTGGTAACAGTCTCCACTTGCATATGTTGTGTTCAGACCGTGGTCTTTTTGGCTACCGGTGCTGACCAACATTAGGAAAGTTGGTGCGCTATATATTGGAGCGCCGGGTATGATTACAGACTATTCCGACGGTTAGTGAACACTCCTGGGGTCCTTTTTGGCAGCCGTTCCTCTGACTGATGCAGTTAGTTACAATTTTGGCACCCTTTTCTGTGAAATTGGGATAGAGGAGAATGCAAACATGAACTCTGCAATACAGGGTCAATCAGTGCTAAGGGGCCAATAATTCCTCCACAGTTGTTTCATCCGTGTTCAGAATCATCCTCAGTGGGCACCTCGGAAAAATACAGTGGAGAAGTTCGAACACTTCAACTTTACATTTACCGTTCGTCTTCCAAAGTTACGCTTCACTCAGTCATTGAGGCCAGTCTACGCTAAAAAGCCGAGAAGCACTGTACGGCTGTTTCAATGCTGTTAGGATTCATCAACAGTGAATACCTCACGAAACTCGGATAAGTACAAACCTGTAACCTGACCGGTGTTTGAGCACTTAACCTTTCAGCCTCGAGGAGCTAAACAGCGGTGTAATAACCCCGTTCATTCTTCAATTACAGGAACCACATCACGTGGTCACGTAATCACCGACTTCTCGAGTGTTGACTTCTCAGATAATAATTTCCCTCACTGAGTGAAATTATTCCTCCTCTGAGCCACATACAAACAGGTCACAGTGCGAAGAGATTTCGTAATATTTGATTGAGATTTTATCTTACACGTGAACATGCATGCAGGCCGCAAAGACCGTGCAATCACTCTCCCCCAGCCAAACTGGCCTCTAGACATAAATTTACTGGTGTTTTCGGCATTATGTACAAGGGAGTATTAATTGATCAGCTGAAATTCCCACACGGTTAGATGGTGGCCACCAGAGAAATGACTGTATTTTTTGTTAGTCTTCTCATTTCCATAGAGCGTAATTCGTACGGAATTCCGCACAGAATGGAGACCAAGGAGCGGCGGAAAAT